GGATACCAAAGGCCGACTTTTATGGAGAATTGGACTGGAACTCATTTTAAGGGCCGATCAAGAGAACGTTACAAAGACACTCTCAAAGCCAACGTCCAATCTTGCAATGTTGACCTCGACACCTGGGAGCTCTTAGCCCATGACAAGATCCATGGCGGCAGCTCTGCCACCTTGGACTGAAAGACTTTGAGAGCTCATGGATTGCTGCAATCAAGGAGAGATGTGTGAGGCATAAAGCTAAAAGCAGTGCACATTCATCTACACTTGTCTTCACCTGTGGCACCTGCAGATAGGGTTGCAGGTCTGAAATTGGTCTTTGGTCTGATCTAAGGACCCACAATAAGTGACTGTAGCTCATCTGTCAAACTCAACAGTAGATTTAGCAACATCACCATCATCACTATAAATCCAGAGTAATTCCATTGACTTATAGACTCATAGACTCTAAGGTCAGAAGGGACCATTATGATAATCTAGTCTGACCTCCCGCATGATGCGGGCCACAAACGCTGACCCACTCCCGGAAGAATTCTCTCCCTTGACTCAGCTGTTGAAGTCCCCAAATCAAGATTTAAAGACTTCATTTGCTTTATCTCAAATTTACCCTAGTATAAAAGAGAAGAATTTCTCCTTTGTCTCTTAGGATGGTGAGGTAGGAGGTTGTGTAGGTTTCTACCACACTTTACTTGCCAACTCTCCAGATCTGACTGGTGCCATGCCTTGAGGGACTACCATCATCCATACAGATTGACTGGCTGTCTTGGGTGTAAGGAATTCAGCATTACTCAATATCCCATAGAAAAATGCAACTGTGAAATCTCTGTGCATAATGTAAATTTTTAAAGATATGGTTGTCTCTGAATTTCCTAAGAAGTACATGGTTCACATTTTAGTCCTGACTGGCATTGTCATCTCACTTTTATCTTATGCTTAACAAATGAAACTGCCCCAAATACATAAACCTATCTGTCCAAGAAATTCAAATTATGTACAGACGATAGAGAATGAATAAATAATGCAGCAGATTTTTAAAATGGAACCTTTGAAATAATTCTTATGTTTTCCCCTTTTCTGCAAGATATAAAAGCTGCTCTGCTACAGTATAAAGCTATAGTTCATTTACTGCACCTTGCCTTCCTGGATGGTGACAACGTCGGGCAAACCTCCAAGTATCCGGGCACGATCTGAAAATACATGAGTGAAGTTTCCTTTAATGTCTGCAAAACTAACTCTGTCCCAGATTTCATTTCCCCTCTAGCGCTGTTCTTTTATCTTATTTTTGTACAAGTCTCTGGATATGCAAATGAAGAGAGTTATTCAGTATTCCTAGCACACCATTTATACATGTAAAATCATGTCACTCTGCTGCAAAAAGCAGACATCTTAATATCTGACTGTCAATCACCTCCTCAGAGAAATTAAAGTATGGGCCTTATCCTTACCTCCAGTGAATTCAGTTTGAGTTTTGAGTGCACAGAGAATATAGAATTGGGCCCAATGTTTCTAAGTTTCCAAGGTAAAAGTCTGGCAATTCAGAGTTTATGAAAAGAAATGAGTTGCAGCCCATAGAAGAGACTCAGAAACCAGTGAAGTTTAGGCTTCAGATCTAAATAAAAAGACAAATTCTGATCTCAATTCCACCAGTGTAAATCTGGAATAATTCCATTGACTTCAGTGGAATTTCTCTGGATTTATCCTGGTGTAAACAAAATCAGAATCTAGCCATTTGCTTTTAGTTTCAAAACCCTACTGCAATCCGATATAAGTAAAGTGACCCTAGCATGCACATTCTCTGCTGCAGCTGTTCAGGAACTGAAATTCAACCTTTGTTAGTAGTGAGGGAGCCACGAAGAAGCAGAAAGTGGCTACATGGAATGCTCCCCTTCAACATAGGTGCTCTTTGCCCTCTGTAAAATAGAGACTTTTTGGAGAAATGTGTTGAAGCCAGAGGTGGAAGGAGCAGGAGTTGGGAGCTAACCTATACCCAGGGGTGTGCCTTCTCCCCACTATCCATGTCCGAGTCAAAGTACAGCTGAGGAACAACATCTAGGGGCAGCACGTTTACTGGTCCTGTCATACTAGTTTGGGTGTGTGTGGTGGTGGGGGCTGCAGCAGAGTTTGGAGAAGCTGGCCAGGATCTTTAGTGTTAGGGACTCCAAATGCTGCATACCAATTCCTCTCCACTGTCTTTTCAGACTCCAACTTTGCCTACACTATTTCTGTGCTGGTCCCAATCACGTAGAGAGAGGGGAGACTTTGCTGAGATGTTGCATTAATCTGTTCCACCCCATGCACTTTTAAATAGAAGGGAAAGTGTGTAGAGCTTAATCTTTGTAATTAATTTATAATGGCTTTGTTAATTAAACTAATGATTAAATACTTTTCCCCCTCCTTTTAAATTACTCTGTATTTTGTGTCTTCAGTATAATGCTATGATTGAGATTTTTAAATGCACAGATGTCAGGAAGCTCAAACCTCTGGTTCCCAGAGCACCTGTAACTTGGCCCAGTTATCCATTTGTAACATTTTTCATCGGAGCTTATGATGTGAAGCCATTTACCATGTAGGATAATTCAAAATCAACTAAATAATTTTCTTCAGACTTTCAAAAACAAAGTCACTTTTGTGTAGAGAGCAGGCATGAGAAATTTCAGCTCAAAAGGTAATTTTTAGGGAAAGTTATTTGGCTGTGAAAACAGAAGCTAAGACTGGAAAAAGTTAACACAACCATAATTATACGGTCACTAGCTGATTGTTATAATATTAGCTATCAAAGAGGTCACTTTTCCTGTTTCTCCTTGGTGTCAGGATAAACTAGTTTTATCAAATGCACACACCCATAGTCAGGAGGATAAAAGAAACTTCATAACCAGTTTATGGAGATCATTGTAAAAGAAAGCTCACTTACTTCTTTCTGCAACAGCAGCTTGTCTGTAGTTGAGGGAAACAAAAAGAAAATTCAATTGTAGTTGAGATTAATTTAGGATGACTAGCAAATGGCTAATCTTTGAGATTGCTTTAAATCACTTAAGGAAAACCTTTCTGCACAGTACATCACTTGATAATTCCACTTTTTCTTATCAACAAAGACTCAAATCCTCATCCAATAGAAGTCAATGGCAAATCTCTCATTGACTTCAGTGGGACCAGGATTTGGCTCAAAGGATTTTTTTTAGTGTTAAACAAAGTGAACATGAGTACAGTTTCTTGCTTTATTAGCAGCATATTGTATTCAAAATAATACTTGTCATGAGTAATACTTACTTTAATCTTTGGAATTCAACACAGGCTTCATCAAAGGCTTTTAAAAGAGAAACACTGATGTTAAAAGGTAGTTTTCACAGACCAGTAATCACAAGAAGGTAATTTACATTTTAAGATGTAGATTAAAATGTAATCAGTGTAAGAAAAATTAACATTTGCAGTCTTTGCTTTGATACCATATAAGACTTAAAATGACTAAAGGTTTAATTAAATGAAGTGGTCTGTAGGTAACTGAGGGCTGAATGTGATAATAATAATAAAAAATAATCAGTCTTTAAACACACCAAGAGAGGCTAAGATTATCTCACTAAAGATACCTCAGGAACAAAACTGCAGCGTTCCAAATTAATTATAGCTTTCAGGATTAAAAAAAAATCAATTTTTAACAAGTATTTTCATGCCCACTGCAAAGTTTCACTTTGATGCTCAGGTAACCAACTGAACAGCAAGATTTATTCCTGTTGTAGCTTCTCCATACGTTGTTTGATGTTGACAAACCCTTTCTCCCCTTGAGTGAGAAGAAGGGACAAAAGCTTTGCCAGAAACTGGGCAAAGCGTACAGAATGGAAAACAATTATTTCACTAAATGTGATTCCCCCATCACCTGGAGCCCACAAACACAATGTGGAGTTGGGGCTTTGTGGGTAGAAATGGCTGTGGAAGGAAAGGTTGGACCTCGGGAGCAGCCTGTTTCTGGCACATGTTCTCCTTAGGACTCAAGAGCCTTCTGGGTGGAAATCTATCCCAGAATTAATCCAAACACCATTAGCTTTCCCTCTACACCTTTAACCCCTGTTCTGAATGCTGGTGAAAGATATCGGCACTGACAACTCTGAAGAATTAGCTATTTATAGTGTGACTCCTTTACCTTGTCCAGAAAGATCCAGCTTCCTTGTATGTGTTGTTTTACCATCAAAGAGCTCCATTATATATTTGCCCTTGTCCTGTGGAGTTGGCTCATTGATCTGTAACCAGATCTGCTCCCCAGTAACACCAGTCTTAACTCTGTCTGTATACTTAATCTTGGTATCACTGAAAAATAAAAAGCAACATTATACCTTCCTTTTTATCATATTATAAATGTGAATGACCTTTGTGGCCTCACTGGCCTTGTCTACACTAGAGAATTTTTGCAAATGGTTCCTGTGGTGCTATGCTATGAATTCAAAATTTCAAACTTTTTAGACCAAATTCTGTCTGGAGATTGTGTCATACTAGGAAAGCTGAGGACCAAAGTGGGGCACAGGATGGAATTTTTCTGTTCCAATTCTAGCTCTTCTCACAGCCCACCAAGAGGCTGTGACATGTGCCCTCCATGACCAGAGCTGCAGAGCTCAAGACCCAAGGATCGGTGGGGAAGATCCATGCGTTTCAGCATGTAACCCGAGAATGCATCCCACATTCATATCTCTACCTCATCACATGTTGCTTCTGAATGAGGTGAAAAGGGGGGTTGTACAAGGGGCTATGAATGGCTAGGACATGAATAGATAACAAAGCTGCTTTTGTAGCAACAATATATTTCCATTTAGGGGGCAATTTGGTACAGTGCCAGAATTTGGTCCTTTAGGTAAATACATGCATACATTAGTATATCTCTTTCCACAAAAGTATCCATTTCCCAGCTTTCTAATCAAAGAGTTAATTACCCTAGACAAGGGAGGAAGCTCTTTGTCAAATCAGTCGCTCAATTTCTTTTTATCCTTAAACTAATGCCTTGGAATGTAACAGAGGGCCAGGGAGCAATTTACTAACCCTTGGTGAATTAATGTGATCATTCTAACATAAAATTAGTTTCTAAAAATTAAACATGAGAGTGAGAGCAAGCAACAAATCTGCAGCATTTGATATTAGCTTCCAGTTTTCAAATGTGTAGGGACTCCTGGCAATGCAAAGTTGAAAGTAGAGATGGTACTAAGTAGATTTAAAATAATCCTCATCAGTCACTCCTTTGGATTTCCCAGTGCATCCTGTCTATTCTGGCTGAGATTTCAAAGCTGCCAGAGGGATTCTGATGCCCACGTGCAATTAATTTAAATGGGGTTTGAAAATCTCATTCTCTGTCTTGTTTTGGTTGGAAGCTCTCCAAGGCACATGTTGGAGTTTAATAGATAAGGGGTCTTATAAGGATGAAACCAGAGATATATATTGCACCTGTTAGTTCTGTAACCAGGGCCAGCTCCAGCATTTCTGCCGCCCCAAGCAAAAAAAAAAAAAAGCCGCGATCGTGATCGGCGGTGGCAATTGGGGGGGAAAAAAAAAGCCGCAATCGGCGGCGGCAGTTTGGCGGCAGGTCCTTTGCTCCTAGAGGGAGTGAGGGACCTGCCACCCCCGAATTGCCACAGGTGCCACCCCTCTCCCTTGGCCGCCCCAAGCACCTGCTTGTTAAGCTGGTGCCTGGAGCTGGCCCTGTCTGTAACTGTACTGTACCTGCAATTTTGTAAAAAAGTGCAATTCAGGGAGACAGACTGGCTGACCTAGAGCTAAACATTTCTGAACTCCAAGTGTTCTTCAGTTTCATGGACCTTCTGGTCATAAATACTTTACTCATGTTCTTCCTCCAAACTGCTAAAAATTAATGGGTCCAATTCCCCTCTGACAGACTGATATAATTCCATTGACTTCAATGGAGCTACTCATGATTACGTGGGAGTAAATGAAAGGAGAATGGGGCCCAGTATTTTAACATATCACTTCCTGTTGAATGTGTAAAACCAAAGAATTTGTAGACTGCTAGCAAGCTTTCATACACTTACTTGTGTAACCAGCTCACCATCAGATCTTCCAAGTAATAATTAACAAAAGAGAATAATCTGATACCCTCTGCTGTGCTCTGGATTTTCAGTTCTGTTGCAGATACAGCTGAAAGAAGAGCACATGTTTTATGCAACCCTACTGCCATTCATGAAGAAGCACAATGAGTCATTCGTCTGACAGGGGAATTAAATACTTACCAATCTTTCTGCACACTTCATTCATCAGATCTGCAAAAGCTGGGGAAACAAAATGCATAGTCTGAGACTACTCAGTAATAGGTTGAAAATTTGGCATGCAGTGTTATGACTCTAAAGCATTCCCTCTAAAGAGTTCCTAACAGAAATCTGATTTGCATTTTAAAATGTATCAGATCCTTATATTCCTCAGTTTCAAGCACAACAAAGCTAAGGAGTGTTTTCAGGGAGCTTGCCTATCTATTCCATGGTTTCAGCACCATGTTTAAACCCTTCACTGCTGAACAGGGCAACATTCTTTTTTTCTAAAGGTGACAGTATTCAACTGGAATTTTGGCCCTTCCATATCAATGTATTAAATACTGAGTATGAATTTTGCTCCATGTACGAGGCACAGTAAGTAGCAATGAAATCTATAAAATATAGAGAGTTCTATGACTAGAAGTACCCTTAAATAAATTATTGGCAAAACAGATTAATTAAAAAGTCTGTACGTGCATCCCCATGGGAACCTAAAATATATCATATTCATAAAATGTTCTAGATCCACAACATTCTTCTACATTAATGGAATTACTTTTAGTATAGTGAGCACACAATTTGAAAACTGTTATAATTGGGAATACCCTCAACTGGGGTATCTGAGGAAATATTACAAATAATCTAATTAACAAAAGTATATTGGAATGCTCTGTTGCTGAAAAGTCACCATCAGGATGGTCTCATGGCATCTGTGATAACTTTTGATTTAGGAGCCTGTTTAATATGCAGGAGAAGCAAAAACCACTTGAAAAAGATACCGCAATTTGCCTATGCAAAACTCTATCCCAGTGTGGGATAAATCATTCAGAATGTTGTCCTGACCTGCTTCCACAAGTTTCAGTTTGCTTTTGTCCTTTCCTCTGTCATCCTTCAGTATTACTTCATAATTACCAGCATCTTTCTTGGAAAACTATAAAGCAATAACAACAAACAGTAGCATTCAAAACAAGTTATTTCAGAGAGCAATATTGTTTCTGTCCTGGTGATTTATGTGGCTGGCAAAAAATATATATGGACACCAAATTTAACCTTCTATCTATATACTCTTTCTCACTAGGTATAGAATTTTGTTCCTTTTACAGTTTGGGAACTGAGGCACAGAGAAACTAAGGCTACATCTACATTACGGGGGGGGGTCGATTTAAGATACGCAAATTCAGCTACGTGAATAGCGTAGCTGAATTCGACATATCGCAGCCGACATACCCCGCTGTAGGGACGGCGGCAAAATCAACCTCTGCGGCTTCCCGTCGACGGCGCGTTCTCCCCCCT